TTTCTTGCTAACAATGGGTTTATACTCTGCAAAGATTTCTGCTCGCTTTTTTCTGTAGTTTTCTAAACGTTGTTCGTATGAAAGATTTGGATTAATTCCCATCCTGTGTTCCACAAAATCTACCTCTGGACACCCGTTTTCTACACTAATCTCATCCTTCACAAATTCCTTATTTACTGTGGCAGTTATCTTGTTGTTGTCTTCGTTGGTTGTCTCTTTATTATTTGTTCTATCCTGCTTGAAGTTGTCACCGGTCAAATTGGGTTGTACGACTTGGCAATTTACTGGGTGAGGTTCTGGCCTGAACATGCAGCCCCAGTTTTCCGCATGTTCGGACGGTTGTTTCCCTGGCACCGAGGACATGTGGGGGTAGTGACGTCCTCGAACCCACACCTATAACAAAATATGCTGCGTTGAACCACTGGACATTCAATGAACGAGTGACCAGGAGCCCTGCAGTTCCAACAAATAAGCTGATTGGTAGAGAATTTTTCCCTTTGTAGTGCTTCTACCTGATTAGCTTGCTCTTTCTCTTCATCTACCTCTAATTCATAGATCTTTCTATGATTCGGCAAGGACATTCGGTGAGAGGATCTCTTGGCAATATTTCTCTCAGCCCTCTTGCATTCTTCTAAGAGATGGTCTAAATTTTCTATTCTGATAGGAAAGAGTAATTGTGAAAGGCCTTCTTTTAAGTTGTCCTTAACTATTTTTACTAACTCACTTTCATCCATATGGACACGCATTTGATTTTTTAATCTTACTATGTCCGATATGAAAGAATCTGACGTCTCGTTTGGAGTTTGCCTACGCTCCATGATCTTCCTCTGAATTTCAAAATCACTCTCGAAATTGCGGAACTTTTTGATAAGGTGGTATTTAAATGTGTGCCAGTCACACGTGGGATGTTTCATGCGAAACGACCAGAACCAAGTGCTGGCTGTACCGGTCATTAAATGGTGAAAACCTTTCATCAAGATGTCCCAAGTACAATTGTAGTCGCTTCGAAGTGTTTCTATTCTGAAAACAAAGTCTTCGACCGTCAACGATTTGCTTGTACCGTCAAATTTTATACCCCATTTTTCCAACTGGTTTGGGGTAATGGGTTTATAAGGGTACTGTTGATGGTCAAATTCTGGATTGGACAAGTTCTGCGAAACATTGTTAAAAAGCTGTTGGGGAACAAAACGTGGTTGTGTTGTTTGAGGATTTTGAAATTGTTGTTGTCCTCTATTATTAATATTAAATGGAGTCTGTTGGGAGTTGTTTTGAACGTAAGGCCTATTTTGTCCGGTATTTTGGTAGTCGAACGAATTACAACGTTCAGAACGTAATGACTCCATAATTAGCCGAGGTAGCATCAACTGCATATTCTGCATTTCACGCATGATAGATGCTTGAGCGGACTCTATTGAGGCGCTCACATATTGTCTAACCTCTTCGTTAACGACCACGTTTGAGTTTCCCTCCTCGTTAACTGTGGGTAAATTCTGATTTGCCTGACTCATATTCCCCGAATTACGTCTTACTGTACTATGGCCTTGACCGCTTATTTCCCTGGCTGTTAAACTACTGTATGTAGGGGTCGTAATGGTATTCTCGCTTTCCGGTGATGAATATGTTCGCGGTCCAGTTCCTTGCGAAAAACCTAATAGTGGGGTAATACTATTTGTTGAAACCTGCGCGTGTACTGTACCAGACGAAGTTGTCGGTGTTGTAGTAGTTTCCCAAACGTTGATATTTTTATTTGTTGGATTTCTACCAGACCTGAGATTCCTTCGACTCATAATCGAAACAAAATCAAGAGTCTAAATTCCACTACTAAATGCGAGAGTATTTAGGCAAAAGCTACTATTTCTATTTTATTATGTATTAAACAGAAATAATTCTGTACTTGTACTTCTTTTTCGAAAGAACGTAAAATAAGCGAAAAATGTGAATTAAAAATAATTATTAAATATATATATATATAAATATTATTAGTTAATAACAGTTGAAATATGTTCTAAATTTGAGAATATTAGTTTGTCTATATATAATTTTTGTGATTTGTCTTTCTAAGAATATATAGTAATGTTTTGTCTGTCCAGTTGGCGTATGATTGTTATTGGTTTAAAGTAAATAGGAAATAAATTAGTATAACATTAATGGTATACGTACAAATATTAATATTAGTATTAATTGTAGTGAGTAAATATTAATAATACAATTTTCTTTTCAGATTAAAATCAATATATGTATAGTTCGGTTGACATTTCGTAGCATGGATATAATAAAAAACTAATAGTGTTCAGACTACTTAATCCAGATGTACAATAATCACTTGAATAAAGAGTGTTCTAATTACTCTAAATAGATTTAGAGAATTGAATATATTATTCGATATTTGTACTATAAAATTTATAATTGTTTTTCAATTCTAAAGAAAAATCCAATAAATTTAATTACTGTTAAGTTTGTGTGTTAACTTCATTCTTGAACTTTCGTCCAAAATGTTTAGTCGTGAACAATTTACTTCATAAAATAATTTTGAGAATCATAGAATTTCATCTCATCTCATTTAAAACAAAAACAAATGAACTCTAAACTAACTAGGTTTTCGGATCATGCTTTCTGTTCAAACTTCGAATTGAATTGGATTCCATTGACTCTCCTCAGTAATCAGCTACTTTCACGGATCGATCGCGACTTAGGCCTGGTACTTTTATGTACCTTCCAGGACATATCGTATCATTGAAAGGAACCTCGTACTGGGTATATGCATTTTTTTAATGCTTTGCGTTGGGCGCCAAATTGTGATAGACCTCCTTGTGGTTGAGCGGATATGGCACACTGGTCTTCGCCGCGGCTGTAGCTCGCCGGATTGGGGGGGTTGTTTTTCCGCTGGTTTTCACAATTAACAAATTCGTGCCATATAAATTAAAAAAAAAAGTATTCTTGTTCGTATCACCTGGTGTATTTAGCGGACTGACTTTGGACGATCGGACAAAGATGACACACTTTACTTCAGTGGACTTAAGTCTCCAGGATTAGATGGAAAGTTCCTGTACAGGCTACCCTCCCACTATGACTGATATCAGTCATCCGTGACATCATTCTTGCCTGTTAAAAAAAGTTTAAAAAAAATTTAAATGATGTCCCTAATAAAAGGTTGGACTATTAGTTTTCTTAAATCCTGCTACATATCAACCTATTTGAATATTGTTTAGCACATCTTCAAAGGATTTTCATACAAAGTTCATAACATTTATTTATAAATCACGTTTTTAAAATACTAACAATTCAGTTTTACTCCACAAAAATACAGAATAATAAGAAAAATTATAATTGAATAATTATATTATACTTTACAATAAAACTGAATAATTAATAATAGAAGTTACAAATATCTAATAATAATTACACATGAAAAAATTAGGAATAGCTCTTAAATATATATAATGATTTTAAATATTAATATTTTATTCATATCTTAACCGATATTTAATAATTATTTACATATTTTGTATTTGTTAAGATATGAGCATATATTTATATTTTGTTTTTCCGTTTTTCCTTTTTCTTCCTTGATTTATTTTAATTATTGTCTTGTTTAGTTATATATAAAATATAAACAATTAGACGTCAGACTATTTAATTGATTATTTATTTATATATTTATTTATTTTATTTATTTATTTATTTCATTTATTTATTTTATTTATTTATTTATTTATTTATTTATTTATTTATTTATTAATTTATTTATTTATTTTGTTTATTTATTTATTTATTTATTTTATTTATTTATTTATTTATTTATTTGGTTGTTCATTCTATTTATTTTATTTATTTATTTATTTATTTATTTTATTTTATTTATTTATTTATTTATTTATTTATTTATTTATTTATTTATTTATTTATTTATTTATTTATTTATTTATTTATTTATTTATTTTATTTATTTATTTATTTATTTGGTTGTTCATTCTATTTATTTTATTTATTTAATTTCATTAATAACAATAATTTCTAAAGCGAATGATCCAGAACTGCTTCATTGACATCAAAGTTGTTGCTAGCAAAAAAAGAACAATACTAAATAATTCAACAACATTTCCATGTTAATTAAATTATTTAATTAATTAAATAACTAAATAATCATATTAGTTAGCAGTTATGAATCATATTTTGTTTTTAGAATAATTGTTTTTATAAGAGTTTTGTTTACATTCGTTTATCTAAAGTTGTTATTTAAAGTTGTAATATAGACTTACAATCTATTGGTTTTATGTTTTGTTAATCAAAACATTCGCCTAGGTTAATTTTAAATATTTTATATTCCAATTAGAATTGTTTTACTTTAATAGGGATTAGTATATAAAATAACAAAATAGAATACTTAAAGGCCCAAATAGACTACACAAGCGGCTTATCAAACATACTTTTTTCATTCGCACACACACTACACAAACATTGCTCGTACAAACACCGATTTTTTCACGTTTTGGTGGACTTTCGAAGATACAGATCCCAATTTTCTTAGAAATGTAAATTTTTTGAAAAATTTGTTATTTATGATTATAAACCATACAAATGGTTTGACAAAAATTCAATATGTTTGTGTAAAAATCAAAATTTTTTAATTTTTGTACAAACAAACAGCAAGCATTTGTACAAACACGAAACACCCTCATACACTACACAACAGGCTTGCACAAACGTAAAATATTGGTATGTTTGTCAAGCCGCTTGTGTAGTCTATTTGGGCCTTAAATATATATAACAAATAATATTAGGTATTATAATTTTTTTTTTATATTTACAAATATGTTACTTTAAATTGATTTATTTTTGTTATCAGATTTTTAATGACTTTTCTAGTAATAATACTGTCCAATGTCAAACTAGTGATCTCCACGTGAATATCACGTGGGACCACGTGTGTGACATGTAGCGGTCAACTGTCAATTAGGGTCTAAAACGTTTTTCCAATTTCAAATTTACTTATCTTTTTCCTTGAAAATATTTGTTGTTGGTTCACCCTGATTTCGAATTATCATCCACTGGTTGTTGAACGTGATGGTATATTTTATATGAGTTTGTAGAGTTGTGGGATATAAATCCTTCTCCTACAAAGTTGTCTTGCTGTTATACTTGTATAACTTTATAGTGTAGAAAAACGAGCTCTGTGGGTATATGACCACGCTATTTCTATCTCAGTTCAGAGATCTGAAACGCAGATGTCACTGTCGTTAACCTACATATAATTTGATGTTTTTGGTTTTAGCAAAAAGATTCACAGCAGTATATATTGGTAACATAAAAAAACATTTTCTAAAGTTATTTCAAACTTAATCAAAAAAAAAAATACTAAAAATTAATATCTTAAATTTGACAATTCTTTAACGTTATTTTACAAATGAAATAGGCAAATTTAAATTAAATTAATTTGTAGTTATTTGATTTTATAAAATAGGAGTTTTAAAGTGGTTTAATTACATCGGTGTATTTTGGAATAACTTTAGATAAATATTTGTCATATATTTCTCTTTTTTTAATTACCTTCAAATATTCTCCTAATGGTATTAAAAAATTTTTAATTCATCCAATTGATTAATATTAATGTATCAAATCGATTTCAATTATTACAATTCTATACTAAACAAGTGACACTTTTCCTAGCTAAGTTATTTCCTTTAGCTTTTCATTGTTCTGACTCTTAACACAAAATGACCAGTAATAGTCGTTACATGTGATTCCATCGTCTTAACGGTGACGTCACTTTCAACGAGTTTCGGTAACGTTCAAGTACACTGTAAGGTCATTTGATCTGTTGGTGAAATTAGAATGCAACCTTACAGTGTATCTATCATTTACGTCACCGCCACCTATACGTCACAGTCAAAACCGATGTCATATGTTAGTTTGTAATGCTTAATGCTAACCATTCACTTGAACTAGCATAATAAGAAGAAAATCATAATAATGTGAACAAAAATAAATAAAATTGGTAGAAGCTATTGTCAAAAATAAATTATTTAAAACAAATTACGGTCAAATAAATAAATATTGTTGTCTAGCCGTCACAAATTGTAAAATTGTTTCCACTATTCTTGATTTCGATGATCAAAGGCAAATTTTGCATCAAAGTTTGATCACACAATGTTGTTTAACCGATCGCAGCTGGGAATAAACTAAATAATTTTAAAATCTTCAAAATTTGTCTTAACAAACCGAAAAAATGTTAAAGAATTAAAAAAAAATGTTTGTATTTGTATTATGATCATTATTACAATTAGTAAGTATCTGTATAATTTGAAAAAGATCAGCAAAAAAAAAAAAAAAATAACTTGAATTTTTAATAATGCAATAATTTTGAGGGTATTCCCCTAATATTTAAAAAAATGTTGTACTTTTGGTATAAAACCAGTTTGATGTTTTGCTATGGTCAAAAAGAAAATCTAGAGATGCTTTGATCACTAAAATACAGCGTCATAAGTGTGCCCATTAGGGGGCAAATGGACAATAGTTAGGTTTTTAACAAATTCTTTTATTACCTTAATATGTCTTTCTTAATAAAGAGGACCTACATATACATTTATACATTGTATGTATTTGAATGTTATTAATGAAGTAATATTTAAATAAAAATTTAAAAAAATAATGTGTGGGTTTTTTATAGCCAGTAACATTTGCAATGGCAGCCTGTTGACTTCATTGACAAAATTATATCACTTTTTTTTGCAATACTAAAGGGCCCTTCACACGTACGTAAAGTCTAATGAAAAAGTAAAATTAAATTCCATCCGTTTGACAACGCTCCTTATCATGAAAAAAAAAAAACAAAGAGAACTGAATGAATTATTTTTCAGTGTTCATAAACTCAGTTTTCTGAACGTAATTCCTAAGAATCTTCCAATCAGTGTTAGTCAGGAATGTTATTTCCGGAATAACATCACTTCTAAGATACTTGGATCTAACTTCGACGAATGCCTGGCAGTGGCAAAGAAAGTGCTCCAGAGTTTCACTGTCCTCTCCACATGCCCATAGGATCTTCGTGGTTCTACCTACTGTTTCATTATTCCAAGAGGCCTTATGGGATTCTCTCACCCATATTTTTAGGTCAGCTTTTGTTTCGTCGAAAGATTTCGCGTTTGTCAGCTTAACTGCCTCGAGCTCCCTACCCTTTAAAGCTATTACATTCGCCCTTTCGTTACCGACTACTCCCAAGTGGGCTGGTACCCATATGATGTGAACCTTACCTCTGGGAGAGTATTCAGTTAAAGCTTTCTTACAATCCAATACAGTCTTAGATTTAGTTCTATCGCCTGATATCGCCCTAATTGCCTTCTGGCTATCGGTAAATATATTAAGCGCTGTGGGCGCCATATTTATTCTAATCCAATTTACGCATTCCGTTATTCCTCGTACTTCTGCCTGGAAGCTTGTGTTATGATTTGGTAAACGGTGGCATATTTCTGTTTCTGGGTCTTCAATATAAAAGAGAATAAAAGTCGTATGATTTATATGTTTGGTGTTTACACGATTGGTATAAAACCTTAACAAAGTAAGATGGAAACAGCTGTTTCATTCTTTTGTATGTGTTTACATAAAAATACATCCCTGATCTAATGCGACTTGCTTGTTTTTTGAATCATTTCTAAAAATTAAGAGAGTCATACTGCTGTCAAATTTTCATTCCGTATTTTATCTAAATGTGTGAGGGTTTCATTAAATATTGCGTTTAGACGATCTCATCCGTACTCTTCTACACAAAATTTTGACAGATCATATTACTTGTGTGCTCGTGTAAAGGGCCCTTTAGACTATAAGATTTTACGTACGACTTTACGTATGAAAAATTAAATTCCATCTATACTTTGGTAAAGAGAATAAGAGTCGTATGATTTATATTTTTTGCTTTTACACTATTGGTATAAGACAATAACAATGTAGAATGTAAACAGCTGTTTCTTTTTTATGTGTTTACATAAAAATACATCCCTGATCTAATGCAACTTGCTTGTTTTGTTAAATTTTCCATCCGTATTTTCTTTCAATGTGTGAAGGTTTTGTTACATATTGCGTTTAGACGATCCCATTCGTACTCTTCTACACAAAATTTTGACAAATAATATTACTTGTGGTATAATGTAAAAGTAGCCTAAAGGGGGCTTTAACTGTATTCGAAAACAAATATTTATATATGTTATGTCCATTTTTGTAAATAATCCCTCCCCTTTATAATATAACTTTTATTACAATTTTCTAAACCTGAGTCACCAAAGTACCTATACTTTTCTTTCTAAAGGATTGAACAGCGTGAAATTTATTTTTTTTTTGAATCTTATCTTTATTTTTTTATAAAAAAATCATAAATATATACTTTAACTACTTTATAATATTTGCAACAAAGATTTTATGCTCGTAGGAACAATTCTATGTCTAACTGTATAACTACATACATACATATTAAATTATGTACTTTTATATAATAAATTCTTTAAATGCTATTTACGTATAATAAAAATAAATTAATTAATTAGTAAATTAAACTTAAATTAAACAACATTGCAGCATAATTAGTTATTTGTGCAAAATGTTTTTGAATGTAATTTAGCACCGTGTTTTTAGCGATAAAAAGACTTATTGAACTCTCTACATCAACTTTTGATGTTGTTTGATAACTCATCGTAGCAATAGAGCAATAAGTAAAAATAACGTTACTGCAACTATGGCCACTATAATAAAAATTAGCTTGCTCTGGAATTGAAAAGGACGAATATTACGAATGTTTTGATTATATGTAAATCTAAGAAACCTATAAAATACTACACACTTTTTGAGTCTTTTTCTGGATAATTTCTGCTTCTTTAATTTCTTTGGTTCCCTCTTCCACATAATTGCGTGCATCATCGAAATGTTTTTCAATGCGTTGCATAATGACACTCTGTAAATGGTTTGTAAAAAATATTTTATAATTTTTTTTAATAAAATAATATTTTAATTTACCTGATCTACTACTAAGTTTTGCAGTCGTATGAATAACGTATGAACTTCTTCAATTGACTTTTCCAATTTTTTTAATTCTCCCAAACGATCTTTCAGAGCTTGCAACGTTTTGCGGGCATGTTCTGTTTCTAGGATCTTGAAAAATTTAAATGTATTTGCAAGATTTTATTTTTTTTTTTGAGATTTCACTACTTACATTACCGGTGTATAAAGTCGTTTGCTTGTGTGCTACTAGAGTCTCAATTTCCTCTTCTGTGAGATCATAATTTACTGCAAAGGAACATTAAAAATTGATTCGCTATTATTTATTTTTTATATTTCGTAACTATTTGATATTTATGGGAAGTGTTATAGTGTTATATTATTACTTTAACAATTTTATGTGAGAATCTGTAGTTTGAGTTTTCTACAGTGTAATCTTGTTTAAATCATCGGTCGGCACCCAAAGTTAGCAGGGCTCAAGATCAAACATAAATTTTCATTCCATTCGACTATGATAAAATGATCAGGAAGAGTTGTGAAATATTTTGTATTATTTTTATTTTATCCTACCAGAATCTATCTATCTATCTATCTATCTATCTATCTATCTATCTATCTATCTATCTATCTATCTATCTATCTATCTATCTATCTATCTATCTATCTATCTATCTATGTATCTATCTATCTATCTATCTATCTATCTATCTATCTATCTATCTATCTATCTATCTATCTATCTATCTATCTATCTATCTATCTATCTATGTATCTATCTATCTATCTATCTATCTATCTATCTATCTATCTATCTATCTATCTATCTATCTATCTATCTATCTATCTATCTATCTATCTATCTATCTATCTATCTATCTATCTATCTATCTATCTATCTATCTATCTATCTATCTATCTATCTATCTATCTATCTATCTATCTATCTATCTATCTATCTATCTATCTATCTATCTATCTATCTATCTATCTATCTATCTATCTATCTATCTATCTATCTATC